AGGAGCTTGATTGCACTGATCAACAGCCAAAAACTATCCTAAATAAAATCAACAAAATATTACTATTTTTAATGTGCTAAAACCGGAATAAAACTGGTTTTTTCAATATTAGTTCAAGTTTTAGAGATACGGTAATTATATGTGTTCCTGCTGTGACAGTGTTAATATACTGTAATTCACAAGAATGCACGTGCTACATTTTTATATTCGGCAAGGAAAGATGATGTAATCGGCATGATTGTGTTACGTTATACATACGTGTACATTATATTGTTTTATATTAGCTATTTTTTCCTCAGTTGGCTGACAGCGTTCATGCAAGATGTCTCGAAAGTGTGTAAACAATCCAGATCAGTTTTGTTACGTGTGTGGTGATGTGACTTTTGCGTCTCAGAGACGGTCTATTACTCCACTAATAACAAAGGCATATCAGCTTTATTTCGGTTGTAAACTAGGTGATCAAGACAAACAGTGGGCACCCCACATCTGCTGTAATACATGTGCTTCAAGTCTGAGGAGCTGGTTAAATGGCAAAAAACGGTCTATGCGCTTTGTTGTCCCAATGGTTTGGAGAGAGCCTACAAATCATATTAATGATTGTTACTTTTGCATGGTACCTTGTGTTGGACCAGCCACAGGTATGTCCAAGAAAAAAAAATCGGTTATTAACTACCCAAACATACCATCTGCGATGAGACCTGTGCCTCACCGTGACGAAAATCCTATTCCAAAACCCCCAGAATCCTACACTTGCGAATCAGAACACGAATCAGATCATGGCGATCGAGTGATTCGTCAGGAAGAAGATATGTCATCAACGTCAAGAGATCCTGATTTTATATCGAGCACGTCATGCCACCAACCGCACAAAATAACACAGTCAGAATTAAATGATCTTGTAAGAGATTTAGAACTTCCAAAATGTAAGGCAGAGTTACTTGGATCAAGACTGCAGCAGTGGAACTTGTTAGAAGACGATGTTTCGGTATGTGTTTTTCGTAAACGCCACAAAGACTTAGAACCATTTTTCAATATGGAGAATAACTTCGTTTTCTGCAGTAATATTAACGGCTTACTGGCGGCTTTAAATATAAACTATAACCCAGAAGAATGGAGATTGTTTATAGACAGTTCAACATTGAGTTTAAAGGCAGTGTTATTGCATATTGAAAATATTTTACCATCTCTTTCTGTAGGGTATGCAGTTCACATGAAAGAATCATATGACAATATGAAGTACCTATTGACATGCATAAAATACGATGAGCACCAATGGCATATTTGTGGCGATTTGAAAGTTGTTGCACTTTTACTTGGGCTGCAGCTAGGCTACACAAAGCTGTTTTTTGTGTGAATGGGACAGTCGGGCAAAGGCACTTCATTACACCAGACAAAACTGGCCTGTTCGTCAATTCCTAGAGCCAAGTCAAAAAAATGTACAGCATATGCCATTAGTAGATTCGAAAAAAATTTTATTACCACCACTGCATATCAAGTTGGGCCTAATGAAAAACTTTGTCAAGGCATTAGATAGAGATGGGTCAGCTTTTCAATACCTGCGTCAGAAATGTCCAAGACTAAGTGAGGCAAAGGTAAAGGTATTTTTGTTGGGCCACAGATTCGAAATATTTTGAAAGATACACAGTTTGAAAACACTTTAACAGGTATTGAAAAAACTGCTTGGAATGATTTCCGTCTGGTGGTCACTAATTTCTTGGGAAATAGAAAAGCTGACAACTATAAAACCCTTGTCAAAATTATGCTGGCATCGTATCAAAAGATGGGCTGTAATATGTCTCTTAAGATACATTTGCTACACTCACACCTGAACTTTTTTCCTGACAATTGCGGAGCCGTAAGTGATGAACACGGCGAACGTTTTCATCAAAATATTTCAACAATGGAAAAAGGTACCAGGGAAAGTGGAATCCTTCCATGCTTGCAGACTACTGTTGGACTCTTGGTAGAGATGCTCCAGAAACGATCCATAAAAGAACAGCAAAAAGACAGCGCATATAGTGATTCTTATAAGTATATGAATCTTGTTACTTTTTTTAATATATCCTTAAAAATAAAAAGTTTTTTTTCTAAACCGCAACTAATTTTTTTATTTCATTGTCATTTTTGGATTCAGCGCCCCAAAATTAACAAAGAGGTGCACTTTTCCCACAAGATACAATTAAAAAACTAAAATTTGTTGTCCAGTTTTATCGTTTAAATATTTCCAATATGAAAAAGGTATTTTTTTAATTTGTAGTTCATTTTGTGAACAGTTAAATGGGAGCTTAGTCTTAAAAACGTATTTTTTCATTTTATTTATTTATATAGCTCAAAAATTGTTTCTTCATATTAGGTATGGAAAGCATAAAGCCATGTTTCCCCTCTTACATAGCTCGCATTGTACGAGGGATGTCTTTTAAGTTTTGCATATAGAAACATAGTAGGGATCGAACGTCAGTACTGAATCTTAACCTCACTCTGTAGTAAACTTACATTCAAAAATGGAACTCAACTGAGAACATTTTCGCGCCATAATTTATTACAACATTCAGAGGCAATTATCGCAACAAGAATGCCTTGCTGAGTTACTGTCTGTTTTCGGCAACGAAGCGCCACATCAGTCGACAATTTCCCGTTGGTTTGGAGAATTCAAACGTGGACGGGTGAGTCTTAGCGACGATTCCAGGGTGGATGCACCAAAAACGGCAGTCACCCAGGAAAACGTCGATGCTGTACGCAAACTCATCATAGAAGATAGACATGTGACATATTGCGAGATTGAGGCATCATTGATGATCTCAAAGATCTCAATTCAAAAAATTTTACATGAATTAGGAGTAAGAGAATTAGTTTTTCGTTGGATACCCCACCTGTTGACTGAAGAGCAGAAAGCAGCCAGGGTTAATTGGTGACAAAAAATGCTTCAATTCCGGAAACTCAAAAAATGTGTACCGCATTGTTAATGGTGATGAATCGTGGACTTACTGTTATGAACCAGAAAATAAACGACAGTCGGCTGTTTGGGTGTTTCAAGGTGAAGAAAAGCCAACAAAAGTCATCCGTTCGGAAGAAAACGTCCACTCGTTTGCTGGCAGATTCAAAACGCTTCAATAGCTGTTTTCAACAACAAAATGATAAACAAACCATAGGCGTAGTGAAGAAAAGCATTTACTTATCAAGTAAATTCTTTTAGTCAAATTTCTTCTGAAAGTAGTACAAACTAATCTGATGTACCTATTAAAGTCTACTTTAAGCTTTAAATCAATAAATCTTCAAAACTACTGAACTGAAGTTCATTAATTTTATATCATTATAAAGGGAATTGAAAGACCTTTAAAATAAGGTATCACTCGACCCCCTTTCCATTTAAGATTTTGGAGGTGGTGTCACCCCCGCTTAGGGGGCTGCACGTACTAACGTGATTTTTTGCCAAACTTGTGTCCCCCTCGAAAACAAAATCGACAGGTCTAAGCGTTTTTCAAAAAAAAAAACTGAGCTGCCAGTAAATGCGTCTGTTTCGTTTTCGATGCGCCACACAGTGTGTTCCTTTATAGAGATCAGGGACAAAATTCGATATCCTAAAAACTAGTGGTCCTATTTGAATTCTGTAAACGCAGGGCGATTACTTATTTAAGTAGCTTTCTAAAGTATGACAAAAATTATTTAAAATAATAAGAAGGGGTGGGCATTTCGCATAAATCGTTTTTTTTTTTGTAAAAGTCAAAATATTAAGTTGATGATCTCGAATAAATTGGGATAAGGTAGGATATTATTATAGCATTCTTAAGAGAGACAAAAAAGTCACGCTTTTATTTTTCAAGATCTTTACCGAATGATTTAAAAGATAATGTAGCCAACTTGTGGCGGGCGCAATATGATTTATTAAATTTGTCTATCTATTTGAAAAAATAATAAGAATAATTCAAATAAAAAATAAATCTGTATAATTTGAAATTGATATTTAGATTTTTTTGAGGATATAAGAGGATCAGAAGTAAGTAAAAGAACACGCATGAGATCGTTATTCGTATCTGTTCTTGAACATTTTCTGGTGTGAGATAATCGATGTTTCCTAACCTCTTTATGGCGAGCCTCAAGCGCATCCTCCGACAGTTCTCCAATGGGCAAACAAAATGCATCAATTATCTCACACCCATGAACAAGGACCTTATGTACCGTGTTTGGCATGTTGTACCACTTATAAAGGTGGATATACAAATTTCTTCCTTCTTCCAGCAATGACGCAAACTTTTCCATATCAATAGCGCAACCACTAGCTAACACTCCTAAGATGATCGCAACTTTCTCGATTAATTCCCTGTCAACCCCTGTGATGTCTGAACTTGTTTGTGGATTGTGGAAAAAAATTCTGGCCGTATTGCCATCATTTGAGGCCCGGGTTTTGGTTTGTCAACTATTAGAGACAGCTTGGCTCTGAACTCTGCTTGGGTTCGTTTTTTGTTTGCTTCGACTATAGCTTTGTTTTCAGGACCACGAACCTGTCAAGATTTAATTGGCAGGCGGTATCCAATATGGAGTAAGCATTCAAAAAAACGAATCCAGCAGTGTAAAGTTGACAAACCAAACCGGTAATTGTCTACGTTAGGAGGACGGCTAATCCCTGCTAACGTGTTCATGTCCTTGGGTGTGGCTCCGCAAATGATGCACTTCATAGTTGAATTTGTCTCTGATAGAACGTTTCCAACACTGCCGTCCAACATTGTTAACATCATATCAAGTTCAATTATATAAGAGTGCCCTTCTTTTGTTTTAATCTCAATAGGAATCAAATTTTTGTTATTATTTCCTTTTCCGTATTCCGCACTAAATCAGCATTTTCCTTTTCAAATAAAAACTTGATCGGCCTACAATATAAAGTAGATGAAGGGCTCTCATTTTTCCACAATACCTTATTCGTTTCCATATCAAGCAATCTGAGTGGCGTCATTGCTACAAGAAACAGAAATTCGTCGGTGTTTTCTAAATCAGAAAATTTCTGCTTATATCACTTTAATCCGGCAATCTCTCTCTTCAAAATTTATTTCAAGGATACTTTCAGCTGTTTTCTGTACAAGTTCTTGCAAATCAACTTCTGCAGAAATTTCAGTAATAATAAATTGTGAAGGGAGGATAGCATCTTTTGTTTTCTGTAATTCTTTATTATAACAGGAAGGCAGTTCTGGGCCTTACCATTAATAACAGACCTAAGTAGCAAATACTTTCTTACGGATATATCCAAATCTACCATAAGGGCTAAAGCTTCAGCTGTACTAAAACTAAAAATTTGTGGCGAGACCTCACTGTGATTGCTTCCAGAAACGACATTTACAGCAAATTGAAGTTCATTTGCAGATCTGTCTGTGGTTAGTTCGGCTACACGTCTTCGTTTTGTTTTCTTCGATGCCTCTTCAAATGGCACCCGTGGCCGTCCGACTGAGCGACAAGGAGGTTCTTGTTCCTCATCCGAAGATGTGTTTTCTTCAGAATCATTGTTTATTATATATATATAATCTTCTAACCAATATACCTGATTTTGTAAAAGTCGATTCTGAGATTGTCCTACTTTCTGCCATTTTGAACCCAAACAACTGGCTGCATTTCATAATATTACTTTTAAGATGTTTGGAAGGTTCATCTGTTATATCAATAAGAGATAATATCTTTTCATAAACCACCTGTTTTCTATTTCCTCTCGGTGCTTCTATCCACACATCAATCAAATCTCTATTTCTGACAATAGCACCATGTCCTAAAAAAAATTATATCTCCCTTAGACGTGGCATGACGTGATTTAAACTTTTTATCAAAACTTACTATGGACAGATAAACAATAAATAAAAAAAATTTTAGGGTGATGGGAGGTGATTCTTGTAAAACTCTAAACAAAGTCAAAAGTTTAAAAAAAATTAAAAAAATGGGTAACAGTCACTTTAACTTAAAAAATTATCTAATTATGATTATATTTTAAATAAATCTATACATCAATATAATGTACTTACCAGCCTCATTACCAGCCATAATGGAAAAGTTAAAATATTTAAATATTTCGACACAAAATTTATATCTTTCCCGAGCAATAAAACAGAGAGATTTTTCGCCTTCTTGACAGGTCTCGACATGTCTAACTTTAAAGTTGCTAAAATAGGTAAATCGCAGCCAACTTGATTAAAGTACTATACTTACGTGTTGCAGTGACTATTTATCTATGCAATGGTATAATAAAAGCAACAGAATTCTAATGTCAAAAATTATGTTTTTGAGTAATTTTGTCCATTGGGTGCCACACTGTGCGCCACCCTGTATTTCATCAGAAGCTAGTAGTTAGTTCTCCTTTCTGAAATCCGTAATGTTATATTTTTTAATGAAATCCGTAAACTTATCTTTTAACGATGTCTAATATTCATCCATATTTGTTTCAGATTTGTTCAGGTCGGCCTCTGAGGCTGGACCAAACGACATCCTGAAGCTGTACAACTACGACGGGCAGCTATTAAATATTAATTCCGACCTACCGCCAAACACACCGGTAAGACATAGATTGAATTTTGCAGCTTTCTGTTTCTTATATTATGAAAAAGTATGCTGAGCTAGATCATAAAGCATATATATTGCTCAACAGTATACACCATTAACAGAGCAATGAGTACTAAAGCAACAAGTCATGTACTAAATTTACCTTAAACTAACTTTACGACATATTTAATGGCACTAAATCTCACGCCACCGAATTTTACCTTGATGAAGCTATAAGCTAGTAAAGCAATTTTGACTACACTGGTGAAGAAAATTAAAATAATCTTTTGCGACATGGGCAAAACGTACCCAAAAAGCCACCACTTTCAGAATCGGTGGATTCGACTTTTTCATCCAAAGACCCAGATTCTGGTGGAATTGGGACAGAATGTTCATCATTATGCTTAACGGGCCGCAAAGCTGATGCTAAATTAACATACTTAACAGTATGTTTCGATTTTGGTCCAATACCTTCAGCAATCAGTAGTATGGTCTCTCGGTTCTCTCCAAACCATTGGTACCGCAAAGGGCATTTTACGATTGTCGCCTCTTAACCAACCTGTTAACAACGTTACACAAGTCTTGCAACATATATGAGGGGCCCAGAGTGTATCTTGGTCGCCAACTTCAATTCCAAAATAAAGTTCGTATGCTTTCAACACAAAGCGAGTAAAAGTGCGTTCTAGGGATTTAAAAGTTAGCTTTCACGGTTTTAACGAAAATTAACAGTAGTTAGAACATCTCAGTACTCTTCAACACAGAAAACGTAGGTGACTCGGCTGGTCTACTAGTAAACGCAATATGCTCTCTAAACAGAGCATATAATAAACAGGAATAGACAGGTCTTAACATTGTATATGTGCGTCATCGCATAAACGCCGAGAAATGCAGCAATATGAGATGTTACGTATTGTAATTCATAAAGTAGATGTTACCGAATATATATATATATATATGACTTTGGACAACTATTGATGAGATTACTGGGAAAACAAAAGTTAAAGAGTGTGTCACTGAGTTAAATACAACATCGGGAACAGTATCTAAAACTACTCAACAGATATGCGATGAATTTGTACAATTCTTTACTGACATAGGCGAAAATTTAGCAAGTAATATACAAGCAAATGTACAAAATACTCAGCCTCCAAAAAGAACTTTGAACTCATTTATTTTGGATAAAGTCGAACAATGTTAAGTATACACCACTGTTATGTCCTTAAAAAATCGGAAAAGTCCTGGGTTCGATGGTATTAAAATCGAGCATTTGAAAATTATAGCTGAGGACATAACAGAACCACTCACTTACCTAATCAAGAAATGCTTTGAATCTGGCATATATCCCTCAATTTTAAAAAAGGTAATATAATACCGATACATAAATCAGGAACAAAAACAGATGTTAACAACTATAGACCAATATCAATAATATCCAGTGTAGCAAAGGTTTTTGAAAAAGTTTTATCTACTAGAATGATTCGATACCTCACAAAATTCAAAATTTTAAATGAAAATCAATATGGATTTACAGAAGCGAAGGCTACATCGGACGCAATAACTAAAATTGTAAATCAAATACATCAAAATATTGATAACAGAATCCCTTCAATCTGCATTTTTGTTGATTTAAAGAAAGCTTTCGATACAGTTAATCACAAATTATTATTAGAAGCATTGAAGAGAATTGGTTTCAGAGGAAACGCGTACTCACTGATCGAAAATTATTTGTCAAATCGCCCACAGTCTGTGCAGATATTAGGATCATTTAGTAAAGAAATGTATATTAAGTGTGGTGTCCCACAAGGAACTGTCTTAGGTCCGCTGTTATTCAATATATATTTAAATGATATTTTCCAAATTAATTGTGTTGGCAAAATAACTAGTTTTGCAGATGATACTGCAATATTATATGAAGGCACTAACTGGTCTGATCTGAAAGATGTAATTGAAAATGATTTTATCAAAATTATTCGGTGGTTTAACAGTAGAAAATTAAGCATTAACTACTCTAAAACACATTTTTTACCATTTGGATCTTATGCTAGACATCTGCCAAATTACACAAATTTCTCCTTCAACATTAATGATCAAAAAAATGCAAATTAATAGAGTGCCCAACATAAAATACATTGGAGTGGTCTTGGATCCTCACTTACGATGGGACATCCATGTCAATTATATTTTAAAGAAAGTTAGATTTGTATCCTATAAAATTAAATACCTTGGGAATCTATTGATAGAAAAATATCTTCGAACATTATACCATGAACTGATTGAGCATCATCTCACATATGGTATATTAGCATGAGGAGCTGCATGTTCCTCACATATCTATAATTTAGATGTTTTTCAAAAAAGTATTCTAAAAATGATATTTAAAAAACCGAAACTTTATCCCACTGAAAAATTATACGCAGATGTTCGAATGTATGATATAAGACAGCTTTATTTCTTACACAGTATCACTCACTACCATAAATTTGTAAACACCGACCAAAAAATTAAACATAATAATTATACCAGGTACAAAATTCGTGGCACAGTAGTTCCTCAACCGCATAAATCTATAATGCAGCGATCATATCTCTATTTAGCGCCTAAATTTTATGAAATTATACCTAAAGACTTAAAAGATTTACGTTTCGGAAATTGTTTCAAAAGAAATTTAAAAAAGTGGCTACATTCTATATCTAGGACTGAAATTCATAAACTCATAAATACGAACATCAACTAAATACATAATCTACTGTAGCTAATTTTTGTCCTTTTTTGTCATTTGCATTCTACAGTTTCAACTTAAATTATTGGTCCATGTACAGGCGATGCCTTCTATTGGGCCTGTTTTGATTTTATATTTATTTACTCATATTGTTTGTTATCTTTGTACATTGAGTAAATAAAATATTATTATTATTATTATATGTGGATGATAGATAAATTCTGTTTTTAGATTTGATTTAAGGATCTCAAAATAGATAAGATACACCCAAAAATTGTCATGTCGCAAATCCTGTGTTATTTACTTGTATGTTGTCTTCTCTATGTACTTGTTTACAGTGCTTCGTTGACATTTCCTGCAATTGGGTCTATCTGCCTGTTGAAAATAAATTTATTATTATTATAAAAATACGTTATTACCATTTTATACTTTGAAAAAGGTGAACTAGGAAGTTTTCAATTCTATATTTTTTGTTTATCTGTTGGCCAGTAGAATATGTACGAGTAGATAGATCGGAAAAGTATGACCTCAGATTCTGGAATTGCTATTCATTTTTTCCAAAACTATTTTAGCTAAATCTGGCTACCTCGGTGAGGTATTCTCCACGTGGATATACCTCTTGAAAGCAGTATACAGAGAAATCCGTATATCACTGACTCTTCCCACAAAACTGTGGAATACACCCCTGTCAGAAATTGCGCACCAGACAAGGATTTTATCTGCAAATTTCGTTTTACTCGTATAAAATCCGTTGTTTCCCTCCATATCAGGACTACTCAAAGTGAAATGCTTTTTGTCATCTAAAATAATGATTTTTCCATTTGCAAAGTGTACCGGCCTCAGTTGACGTCAGTATCTTGGTATAAGAAGACGTTGCGCTTGAGAGCATTTGGGGCACTTGAGTCTCTTTCGATACTTTTGACCATTCGTCCTCAATTCCAACGATATCGTACTCTTAGAAGATCTATACTAAGTGACATGTAAATCCGAACACCCAGTTTAAATGGTTTTATTTTAATAAAATTTTGTATAAGTACTTAATAATAATAATAATAATAATAATAATAAATGGCCTTTATTTTACCTGGCGGGTTACATCAGCACAAGCTGTTTTTCAGAACCAACCAGGGCTAAAAAAAAATTCAAGTACATGCAAATACAACAAAAATACATTTGAAGATAATAACATTTAAAGCAGAAAAAAAAATTTTTTACAGAATCGTAGCATGGTATAATGACCAAAAGACCAAAAGAGAAACGTGCAGCAACAGAGTACGTAGCAGAATCAAAAACCGTGATTAGAAGTAACTTTAAAGAAAGAAACTATTAGGTATATGGCGGAAGATATAAAAATTAAAAGTAAACCGTAACAAATGTGTAAGCAAAACACAAACAAATGAAAAGTGAGGTGTGAGAAAACATGCACAAATAAACAAATATAAAAATAAAATTACATAAAAATACATGCTACATGAAATCAAAAAAAAATACATGCTACATGTCATTAAAGACAAAGAGCCTAACTTTTCTTTTAAAGCTGGACACAGATAGAGTTCTCAAAGCTTGAGGTACTTTATTGTAGAAATCGGGCGCCACATATGCAAAGCTCTTTCTGAATTGGGTTGTTCGGTGCCGAGGCAAGTCAAGAGTATATCCTACAAAACGCAGGTTCGCTGAGTGATCATCACATCTCATGGTAAGCTTGTTCTTCAAATAAGGAGGCATTTTATTAATGAAGCATAATAAGTAAATGATAAAAATTTCAAAATGATTGCACTGCTTTAAAGCCCTTGGACCTTTAATAATGTGTGGATGCACCCTGATGTGCTACGCATTCTCCAACGCGCCTAGGCATGCTTCTGATCAGGTGGTCAATGTCCTCCTGTGGTATCTCATTCCAGGCAACCACCAACCCTCTCGAAGTGCTTCTAGAGTCTGAGGAGGACGTTGCAAGTTGAGCAATCTCCTACCCATCATATCCCACACGTGCTCAATTGGGGATAAGTCGGGAGATCTTGGTGGCCATGGTAACAATGTGACATCATTATGTTGAAAGAAGCCTATTGTGACTCTTGCAACATGTGGTCGGGCATTATCTTGTT